GTTAACATCCTCTGCCGTTTGGATGAGTATCATACACGGTCACCCAGTACTGCTCAATTCTCTCTATGAATCACCTTGGAAAGGCAAGGGTCAACAACGCAGAAACTTTACTCATGTAGAAGTTTTCCTGTGATTTTGACCACAAGAATGCAGGCAGTGTTTGCATTTCTTCTTATAATCTTGGTACAGAGATTTTTGTGGATGGCCTCTTATTGGATCGTTAAGTATCTTTATATATTGGCTCTCTCTAAGGTTGAACTTGAGTCAAGAGGCACCTTCCTTAGAGTCCACCTGTTATTACTGTAAAAACGAAGTTGAGCTATAGGGAATGTAGGAAGTCATAAGTTAGTGAAATCCTGAGTGAATGTGTACTGCAGACATGGGCTTGTCCCTGCCAAGGACACCAAGGCCTCATCCACATGGGCGGGTCAAGGTCTTCCATTGGTGAGGCTCACAGGCATGGCGAAGCTTTCCTGGTGATGGAGCAGGGGAAGGGAGCACACACTGAGTTCAAACAAGTGGCCAGTGTGTACAAAAACTAGCAACTGTTGCTTCCTCCCCAAGTGTTTCCAATCTCTGCTGCCCACAGAGATCTCCTACTGAGACTAATTAACCATTTCCCATTTGCTGTATACAATGAACATGCAAAGGTCCCTAGTTGCTATGGTAGTAGATGCCACTCCATTAGAGTGCACACACCCCACCTGATGCCAGCTGTTCTATATGTCTGTGTGTTTTTATTCCCTCGTGGCCCTTAGTCAGGGTTCTAAGACCAAGCTGCAGAGTTGCAGCATAGCTGAGCTAGAAGAGTCTAGAATGGTCTAGAACTGGGAACTTGGACTCCATATTAGAGTGTTCTTTGTTTGTTTGTTTGGTTAGTTTTTTTTTTAATTTGTTTTGTGTTTTTTATACTTTTTTGTTTGCTTGCTTGTTTTCCTAGCATAACTCCTAACAGTTACCCTTGGGCCCATGAAGACAAATTTCTTAATGTATCAAAAACAGTTCCCCAAGAAAATAGCTCTCAGTAGATTGTCTCAGAACTTCATTATCCACATGGAATTGAATAGTGCTCGTGTGTGTGTGTGTGTGTGTGTGTGTGTGTGTGTGTGTGTGTGTGTGTGTTTTCATGTCTAATTGGCAAGGGTGGGAGGGTACTGCAAATCCAGCTTACCTTCTTAGGAGGCTCAGAACCTTAAAAATTTACTAAACCTAGACATTTTTATACCAGTTAAAATATTTTAATCTATTGTGTCCCTGTACCCTCATTATTTTTCCCTAAATCACTAGAAGCCAAAACATCTGTATTAGGAAATACAGATGCAGTCTAGCGATTTTGTATGGACCATCCAATTCTTAGGTGGGGTCATCTTCATCAAATCTGAAACAGCTCCTTTTTACCATTCCAGTGCCATGTGATGAGCATCTACTGGATATCTAGGAGCTCCTCCTATTTCTTTTAGGAAGATCAATGTTACTCATAGTTTAACAATTAAGTTTGTCTTCTCTGCCATCATTTATACTATCTGCATCATAGAAAATTATTTTCCTGGTGAGCAATAAGTTCTTATTTCAAATAAAAGCAGGAGGTATACAGTAACAATGAATAAAGCATGAGAATAGGAAATGCAATGATGTTTTATGACCTTGGGATGTTAAAATTTTGTTATTACTATGTAAGAAGAGGCTATACAATTGACTATAGTTCCCAATTTTCAGTGGATGATTTATTTTTACTTTTAATTACTTTGGGATGCTCACTAGAGGCAATTGCAATGGTATGCTCTCCATTCACCATAAGGAATATGATAGAAGGATATCCTGGAACAAAGTTTCCTTAGATACCAGGAAACTACTTATCAAATGGGAAAATGGTAACTAGAAATTTTGGCTAAACAAAGAAGCAAGAACTGTAAACTGAACTGAAATCTTCATTTAATAGTATAGGATAGCCAGGTGTGGTAGCAAGGGATATAATTGCAGTACTTTGGGAGGCTGAAGTAGAAAAATGGTCATGAATTTGAGGCCAGCCTGTGCTACATAGCAAGTTCCAGGCCAGGTTGAGTTGTAAAGTGAAATTCTGTCTAAAACTGAACAAAAAAAAATAAGCGATGTTAGTATATCCAAATTAGATATTCAAAATTTATAACCAGTCACCGTTCTTCATAACTATGCCATTTTTAGTATGTCTCATATAATTAGTGAATATTTTTGTTATTTTTGAGGTTTCTGCTATGTCAAAACTTCTAGTGAAATAGTCTCATCACTACTTTGTGGCCCATAATATAAATATTTCTCAGTTATCCATGATAATGAAAACGAGTTCATGTGCACAATGGAGGGAAAGCATGGGCATCTGCCTCTTCCCATACTTTAAACTAGGGATGGATGTTTTCTGAAGCTAAATTATTTCGAGATTTAATGGAAGATGTTAGAAAGGGATAGATGCTTTAAAACATACAGAGGATATATACAAAGACATAACATTTTAAAGAAGGGAGTTATCATGTCCTTAGCTGATTTTAAAATCCTAATCCTGCTCTGGTGTTGTTCATTAGCTCATGTTAGTGGGAGGTAATAGTCTTCTCATATGCCTGTGTCTCCACTACACACACATGCACACACACATGAATACATTTATGTATGTAGGCATGCATACAAGCACCATAACTTTTAGGAGAATGAAGGAACGCATAGGAAATGCTTTGAAATAAGGTACCAAAATATCATAGTTTGTGTATTGATCAACTGTGTAATGAAAGAAAGATAGATGTGTTCATTGTGATTTTCTGTTTGGTCAACAGATGGTTAAACAAAAATAAGATTTAAAAAGTAAGTTTGAAATGCCCATATTTAAACTCATGAGCCCCATCAATTTTCTAGTTATATCAAAAGCAATAATAGAATGTATGAATGGAAAGGAGTATGAATGCAAATTCAGGCCCTTGGATTAGTTTATCCCACAAAGATTATTAACATATTAGACCTCTCCCCACCACAGAAATCCATGTGTAAAAGTCAGAGAAATGGAATAAATGATACCTGATGTACCATCTGTCTTTATCCGATTTCAAGTTAGATATCCACAGACTACTATGGAATAATAAATAAGTGGGCCACAAGATGGCGTCTGTAGCTAATGAGTCTGTTTTACTTTAACCCTTGCAGTGGTTAAGCTGAACACACAGCTTACATTGTATTAGTAAAAATGTAGTATGCACATCCTGTTATTTTAAAGTTACCGATAACTTCTAAAATTAAAACTTGTCAGATAACTCCTAGAATCTGGAATCAGACTTCTACAGATATGAGGGTCTGGTCCCGTCTCCTTATCTTGTCTTCCTTTTTTTCTTTTTTTGGGCAGTAGTGAGGACTGAACCCAGAGGCTTTCATACACTATGTAAGTGTTCTACCACTGAGCAAGATGTTCAGAATATTTGCAATTTTTTTGGAGCAGAGACTGACTGGCTTGCCCTTGAACTCAGTCTGTAGCCCATACTTAATGTCAAGTTAAAATCCCTCTGTCTCTGACTTCCAATTAGCTAATTTTACAGTCTTGTATCATCAGACCTGATTAGCCTATCTCCTAAACTACTAATTTTACTTGATCCTGAAACTGCAGTATAAAAAAACAGGCTTTGAAGCTGTGAAATGAATTAATGAAAAGCACCAGACTGGGTGTCCAGCAGCTAGGAAGTACTTAGTGCATGTCGGCTAAGAGTAGTAGCAGCAGCTACAATGAAGATTGAAAAGATTCCTCGTGTGCCTGTAGATCTTACTTTTGGAAACTGTACAATGATAATTATCTTGCTAATACTAAATACTTGAGGGAATGTTTAAATTTTTATGATCACCATATTTCATAATGGCTCTAGGCAAGCAGAAGCAGACAGAATTGTAAATCATATGTAATTTCATTTGCCAACGTCTTGGCAGCCACAGTTAGCCTCTGGAACCTTCCATTTTAGAGGAAATCCGTTTATTTTATATGTAGATGAATAAGCCGAACAAAGCAGAGAATTCACAGTAGACCTCCTCACATCCCCCAAGGTGACACAGTGTCAATATGAGCTCCTAACTGTGTCACTTCCAGTGAAAAGCTGTTGTGTCTATGGGAACATTGCTGTCGTCACTGAGTGTTTAGAAACCTGGATCACATCTGTTTGTGGGACTACTATGCACTTGGGAACTAAGGAGACATTTGTCTGTACTGGTGGCCAAATGTCATCACCATCTCTGCTGAGGCAGCAAGAGATTTCCTTTCAAACCTCAGAGTGACTTTTGGAGTTGAAGCTTAGTTTTCCTAGCATCTCACATTCATGTATTTGAAAAGCCTTGGAGTGAATACGTAGAAACGGAATATGTTTTCTATGGTGTGTGTCCTTTGGCCAGCTGCTATCTCCAAGTGTTCTCTGCTCTCACAAAGCTGTTTGCCATTTATCTAAAGGACAGAGTCACCTGGGGAGAATGTTTGCTGGATTTTCAGTTACTGAAGATTTAGCGTGAACCTTCTTGTCGGCCCTGCTCCCCATCCTGGCTAACACACACCCACTACCATGGGTGGGTGTTCCATGGGTGGAACATTGACTGTGCTCTTATGAGGAGAAACAGAACAGTGTCTGTGAATCAGATTTTTTGAGGGGGGTTATGTTTTTGTTTTGTTTTGTTAGTTTTTTGAGACAGGATTTCTCTGTATAACTGATTTTAGCTCTGTAGACTAGGTTCACAGAGGTCTGCCTACCTCTGCCTTTGAGAGCTGGGATTAAAGGCATGCACCACCACTGCCTGGCTTGTATTGTTTTTAAAAATATTTATTGTTGTGTATGTCTGAACCTGTGCATGCACCATGGCATGCCTGGGGAGGTTAGGGTACAACTTCTTGGAGCTGGTTCTCTCCTTCCACCTGTGGTTCTAGGGACCCAAGTCAGGTCACCTGGCTTGCATGGCAAGTGCCTTAATCCTTTGAGCATATAACCCCAAATTTATTCTCTTAATTAAAATAGGATTATCTGATTCCATCAGAAGACAATTACAATGTGGAAAATGGTGACAGTATTCAAATGAAAGTAGAACCCTGTGGTTGGAGTTCCCTTGGTTGCATAAGCTTGATTAGGCTGGCTGGGTTGATTCTACAGAGACTTAGATAGTGAGTATGCCTATTATTAATATAATTTTTAAATTTTTTGCCCTTACTCTGATTTATGCAAATACTAACTAGCTTCATTGACAATCATGATTTTCTGAAAGAAAAAGCAAATGCATACTTTCAATTCAAGGACAAATAGAAACACCTTATTTAAAAAGCTAATTTAAAAGCAAGTATCACTGGATTTTGGGATTTTCGTGACTTTATCTTTCATATTTTCAACTGTCACAATGCTTAGAACAGTAGATGCTCGATTTCCTAAACTGAGAAGCCGTGTGGTGGTGTGAACTGTCTATTTCTTGAGAGCTTCCTTAGGTTCTCTAGTTTGAAGCAAAGCAAGAAAGAATAACAAGAAATGAAGCATGCTAAACATTAACTTTTCTAGTTTTTTATTGCATTTATTTATTTGTTTGTTGAGTGCTTGGCTGTGTGCATTTGTGTGGGCACACATGCCATAACATGCATGTGGGGTTAGTGGACAACTTGTGAGAGTTGGTTATTTTCTCCTACCATGTGGTTCTAGGGCAGCAGTCCTCAACCTGTGGTTTATGACCCCTTTGTAAATCCTCTGTCTCCAAATATACTTACCTTATGTTTCATAAAAATAACTAAATTACAGTTGTAAAGTAATGATAAAAGCAATTTTGTGGGTTTTTTTCCTGAGACAGGGTTTCCTCTGTATTGCTTTGGAGCCTGTGCTGGAACTCACTGTATAGAGCAGGCTAGTCTCGAACTCACAGACACCCAGAGATCCACCTGCTGCTGCCTCTCAAGTTCTGGGATTAAAGGTGTGTGCCACCAATGCCAGGCTCAAGGAACTGTATTAAAATGTCACAGCATTAGGAAGATCGGGAAACAATGATTTAGGTAATGAACTCACGTTGGCAGGGTCAGCAGCAAGCACCTTTACCAACTGAACCATCTTGCCCCCTTTTATTGCTTTTAAAGGGAGATATGTAAATTGACATGATATATGAGCCAGTTGTCAGATACTCAAGTGAATATTACCCCCAGATGAATGGGGAGGAGCAGTTGCTCAATACATTAATTTATAATAAAACATCTTAAACTAAGATTACAAAAGAGGGCCAGCAACAAGGCTCAGCACATGAAAGCACTTGTCATCAAGCCAGAACACATATGATATAAAGGGAGAACCAGTTTACACAAGTTGTCCTCTGCCCTCCACACATATGCTTTGGCATGTACGTCACACTCTATCACACAAAATTAAATAGATCAATTAATAAGGTTAAGAATAACAATTTAAAAGAATTTTAAAGTACCTGAAGAGACTGAGTGGCATCATGAATTACATAGTTTAAGGTCAAATACTTAACTTTGCAGACCCAAAATGTTCATTGAACACAAACCTGAGTAGAATTGAGGCCAGAGGACATGAGGACAAAACTTTGCACTTAGAAATTCCACAGCAACAGAGAGCAGGAAACCATTTCATAAGAAGGAACGCACAGCTTTTATGTCCATCAACATGTTAGCATTGGTTTTTCAATGCATTCCTTCTGTGTAGACCTCTGTGTTCACTGAGCATGAGCTGAATGCCTGGTGTATTTAGACTCCATCATATTCAAAAGTAGTGTGTACTACTGTAAGTAAAGCATTGTTGAGAAATGTATAGAGAATCGGTTTCTATATACACAGATTGCATACATAATCTTTTTTTAAAATTTGACCACCCTGATTCTCCCTATTTTCTTGCCCCTCTCCTCCCAAAGTTATCCTTTTTCACTGTGTAAACGGGAGACATCTTGTCATGTTTGCCAGTGACATATTAAATGTACACCCGTGGTGACATAGAGATCTGTCATTCTATGTGTGTTGATAAGTAAACATTAGCTATGGTCCCCAGGATATGCACAATGCTTTAACTGTGCCAAAGTTATTCGAGCTTCAGCTTCCTCACTTGTATAATAGCGTTTATGATAGTAATTGGGTGCTCAAAATATACGACATATAAAAGAACCATTGTGATGTCTATTGTGTATTCATAGCAATGTATCCAATGTTGGTTGTATACATATTTCTGTAGTTGTTCTGTGATTTCCAGCAATCAAAATGCATGAAATCTTAACTCTGCTTCCAGTTGGAGAATGGCAAGGGAGTTAGTCAGTAACATCTCTTTACCTTGTTTCAATAGCGTTAGTACTTTATAAATGAGTGTTGGTTCACCATACTAACTGGCTTGGATGGCAGATAGCATCACAGCCTTTAGTAAACTGGATTCGTTAAAGTACATGATAACAGTGAAAGAAGACAGTTTGTTTGAGGACCAATGTCCTTCTTGGTTCCATTCAGGGTCTTTATTTGACATGAATTCTGAACAAAGAAAGCTGCTTGGAATTTCATCTTGATTTTTACCTGGGGGATGGTCAGTGTATTTAAGTGTAGTTTGGCTGAGTTTTCAAAAAGATACTCTAGTTATCTGAAAGTAGTAACTGTCGTGGATGGTCCTGCAGAGTTAATAACTGCTGTTTATGAGTGACCTCTCAGAGGAGGCACAAGAACTCAACTAAAAGGTTTGCAGGGAAAATGGCTCTCCCAGTCTGTGTGTTAGATTGTGGGTCAGTTTTCTCATTGTGTTCTTTTGACATTTTTATACTTACATTTGGTGAAGGAGATCTGGAACTGACTTTAAATTGGGAAGAAAAACATGTTATTAAATAAACAATTCCTATTGCATATATGCATAGCAGGTAAACTATAGGGTTTTGTTTTACAGATTTTCTTTCTCAATATATAGAATTTCTTATCAATTCTTGATTTGCTGAGAATGGTTGTCTTAGTCAGAAATAGCTGACTATGAAATTTGACAAAAGCTCTTTAGTATCTGTTGAGATGATTCTGTGTTTAATGTGGTCAGTGATGTTGAGAGCTAATCAAACCTTGTATTTCATGAATAAAATCTATTTGCATATTACATATAATTCTTTGAAGAGATTACTGAAAATTTTCTTTGCTATTTATAGAATTTTGCATCTATATTTCTGATTAAAATCAGTCTCTAGTTTTTGTCTACAATCTCTTTGGTTTGGGTTGGTCTAGAAAGCTCTCCTCTGTCTTCAGTTCTGTTTGTATTTGTATAGAATTGGTATGACTTCTTTAAGAGTTTTGTGGAATGCACAACTGAATTATTTTGCAGGGTGAACATTAACTCTCAGTTTAAATTCATTTGGGTTATCTTTTTCTATGGAAATTGCTTTTGGGATTCTTGCCTTTTGAATAATTGGCCATTGCTCCATATCATCTGAACATCAAGCACAAAGACATAAAGCTTGTGGTTTTGTCTCTTTAAAGTCAGAGGGACCTGAGCTAATGCTGCCCTTTCATTCTTCACTCCTGATAAATCTTCTCGTCTGTCCTTTGTCATCGTTGCAGTGTGAGGGATCAATCCTAGGACTGTGTGCATGCTAGACAAGTGCTGTACCACTAAACCCTATGACCCTGTATCATCTTCCTTTTATGACCAGTAAGGTCCTTTAGCAGTATCACTAATCCTCTTAAAGATTCAAACATTTACTGCCATTGGTTTTTCTCTATTTTTTTATTATTGTCTTTTGTTGATTCCTACTCTGGTTCACCCACACAAATATCTACATGCATGTACATGCACGTCCTGCCGCTCACTTTGGCTTTAATGTTTGTTGTCAGCTGTTTTTCTCTTGCTCTTTTGGTTTTTAAATTAGAAATTAAATTCATTGATTGGAGACCTTTCCTCATCTCTAATGTAGGCAATTAGACTTTCACCATTTGCTTCCTTCGTGGTATTAGTGGTATGCAGAAGTTTTTGTTATAATGTGATTTCTTTTTCATTCAGTTAAAATACTTCATTATTTCACTTTTGGTTTCTTCTTGCCATCCAGAGGTATTTAAAATTCTCCTATTTAGATTGCAAATACTTAGAGGCTTTCATGGATGTTTCTCTTACTGGTATCTAACTTCATTCCACAGTACCCAGAGACTACAATCCATATGACTTGTATGTATAAATATTTTTTGAGACAGGTCTCATTCAGTAGCCTAGACTGATCTGAAACAGACTATGCAGCCTAGACAAAGGAACTAACAAAGTGCAAGTCTCAAGCCCCAGTCTCCTGTCTGTTGGGATTATATGCATGTGCTGCCACACTAGCCTATTGAGACATCTCATATGACCCAGAGTGTAGTGCATGAGAGATGTATTTTCTGGTTTTGTTTTTTAGATATGCATTAGGCTAACATGAAAGATCATGTGCTTCAAATGTTTATCACTGTTTTTCTGTCCACATGTTAAACATAAGAGAACCTCAAAATGAATCATAAATACAATTGCCCTTCTTTTATGGCTCTGTTTTTGTTTAATGTATTATGAATTTCCAGATTTACTGCTATAAATCCTTATCTTGATAAGGATCCTTTTTGCTGAGGTCTTTAATACTAATGTAATATTATTATTCAACTGTTTTCTTTGGACATGTGTTTTGCACACACACATTTTTCATTTTGCCATCATTTTTAAATATTTATAAGAAATTTAAACAAAGTACAGCTGTGTCTTAGTTTTCTGTTCACTGTCTATCCCTTTTTATTGATTATGTGTACTCTGTAAACATTTAAATTGACTTTTGACAGGATTAAGCTTAAATGTTTTATCTTGCTGTTATTTTTTATTCATTTCATTATTTTTATTTTCCTTCTGGCTTTGGAGGACTAATAGATATTTTATATAATTTATTCTTCCACCTGTTGTTGGTATACTATGTGTATTTCTTTCTTCCATAATTCTAATGATGTTTTAACCATTAAATATTGAGTCTAACCACCTAGTTCCAGCACATAATAAAATAGAAGATGGGTTTCACAGAACTCTTGTGCTAGAAGATGGGTTTCACAGAACTCTTGTGCTAGGCAGTGTGTATGAAGTGCTTTCACAGTTGCAAATTTTACATGCCTACTACCTGATGTAGTGAGATCCTAATCATCACCAGGTTTGTATGCCAATGTGTACCTTATCAGGTCCAAAGGAGTAAATCTGAGCTCTCTTTTCCCTTCTGTCAGTGGGGGAACAATGGATTGTTTTATATATTTTCCTCTTGTTTGCCAGTAGTAGCTCTCATTAAAAATTAGAATACCAAGCTGTGAAGAGGGTTTAGTTGGTAATGTGCTTGCTGCCTAAGACAGACCTAAGACAGGCCATGGGAAGAGCCTGGTGTGGAGGCACACATCGGCTATCCCAGAGTTGGGTGGGTTGAGACTGAAGAATCCCTGGTGTTTGCTGACCAGACACCGAGTCAGTGAAGTCCGGGTTCAATGAGCGATCCTGTCCCAAAAAGCAATATAGAGAGCAAGTAACGAAGACAGCCAACAGTCTTTGTGAACATACAATGAAAATGTCTACACCTATGCAAAACATGCGCGCGCACACACACACACACACACACTAGGGGGTATTAAAATGTCTAAGAAATGACAGATGCTCTCAAGCTGACAGGAGAAGGAGATCAGATTGCTGTAGGAGTGTGTGCTTGGATGCTTTATTAATCATTTTAATATTGACCATCAACTAGAGCTGACCTCTCTCATGGCATTTCTGTTATACAGTGCCTTGCTACATGGGAATCATTCCTCACATCACAGACTGACCTCCCCTTGGAAGAGGACTCTGAAGATAAAATTTAATCCTATTGACACCTCCTGTTTGATCTTTGAGAGACAGCATCTATCAACCAAAGTTGTTTTTTTCTGGATTGGCTGTGCCCTTTATAAAGTGGATGACAAATGATTTTGCACTGGCTGGAAAACCAACAACTTACAAACTCAGGTATTCCAGGTCATCAACGTGAATTTGTGATATAAATATATCTATCTAGATACATAGATCTGTTATATGATGTATATTCTGTAGATCTATAGATCTGTTATATGGATAGATATTTATCTATGTCCATGTAGATAGGAAGAGATTTAGTGTAGTTTTAATTTTGTTCTTAAATTTATGTGCCATTAATTGCAGATAGAGTTTTTTTCTTACATATTTGACTGTGGAAAATTACATTTTTCAATATGTTGTAAAGACTTGGTTTTAATAAAATCTTTAATAAGAACTTGGTGTCTATGATGTGTTTTTTTCTGTCAGAGGTCAAACTCCCAAAACAGTTTTTAACACTAATTCAGTATGTATTATCAATGTTATTTTGCATGTATTTTAATGCTATCATAATTTACATTGACATTAAGAATTTGAAATAAATATAAAAATTATTGAACATTAATAATGATTGCTTATGTTTTTATTAAAAATTAAAGTAGCTGTTTTCATCAATGTAAAAATTTTCCAAAGTAAACTTTGAATTATTATTTGTCTTATTATTTGGAAATCCTCATATAACCTCATTCATACTAACGAAAGGTTTTTCTGTTTTGGCGATTATTTGAATATATTTACAAGTCACATCCACTTTTTAATTTTTTAAGGCATACAATATCTTGAGTCTACCTATTACAAGGCTGTGCTGTGGGTTCTTGTGGGCCACAGTGATGAAGAATGTTACTTTACAATTAGCATATGGTTCTTTCAGAAATGACTTGCCAAATCACAGACTTCCTTCACTCTCTCAAAGCAATTAGCTTCAAAACAAACAAACAAACAAACAAAACACAGGCAGACCATGGTTTGAGTGGTACATGCCAATAACTATTACGTGGAATCAATGAAAATCATACCATATTTAAAAGCAGCTGTTATTATAAAACAATTCTAACTTATATAATTGCTTGGAGGCAGAAAGTTCAGTTATTTCTAATGAACTCACTTCCTTGTTTCACTTCAGTTTCCGGCAGAAAAACTCAAAGCATTTTACCTTAATTGACTAATCAATCAAAAAAGAAGATTGGAGACAGGTTCTCACTATGTCATCCTGGCTGGCCAGGGACTTTCTATATAGATTAGGCTGTCTAAATTCACAGAGATTCATCTGCCTCTGCCTGCCAGGTATTGGGGTACTCTATTGGTAGAATGCTAGTCTTCCATTCACAAAAACCTGGTTCAGTCACTAGCACCACATAAACTGGTAAGGTGGTGCAAGCCTGTTTGTCTGGTATTTAAGGTAGAATCAGCGAATCAGGACTTTCTTTGAAGATAACTTTTGGCTACATAGCAAGTTTGAAACTAGCCTTTGCTTCATGAGACTCTGTGGCATGAGACTCTGGAACATGGAATGTGCTGAGGATGACACATATGAGAATACTGACAACTGAAAACACCCTTTATCTCTATCCAAAATCCACTCTTGCTTGTTTTGACAGTTGTGTAACTTTTCATATGTCATAGGTAAATCTATGCTTCAATCAAAACCTGTTAATTGATTTTTTTACTGCCTTCTGAGTTAATTTTATCATATCTTTCTCTAATTGTGCATTTTTGTTTGTTCGTTAGTTTTGGGTTTTGGAGACAGGGTTTCTATATGTAACCCTGGTTGTCCAGAAATCGCTCTGTAGACCAGGCTGACCTTGAACTCAGATCCCCTTGCCTCTGCCTCCTGAGTGCTGAGAATAAAGATTTTCACCACCACCTGCCTGGCTTTTGCTTTCAGCTCTTATTACATTTGACAAAAGAACACATCAAAGTAAAATGGGGAGAGAATCAATTCACTCCTGTATCCAAAAGAAACTGGACAAATTGTTTCTGGAGCATCCCCATCTTATCTGTCTTCATGTATTCACCTGTCTGATATTGGTTGGTACCATTGTTTCTCCTTCTTATGATATTAAATCTGGGATTCTCTTCTGGGAGCCATTTTGGTCCTCAGGGGACATGCAGCAGAGCACAGATGTATTTTCAAGGGCCACACTCTAGGGAGGAGAGTGCTCTTGGCCCAAAATAGACTGAGGCCAGAGATGCTGCTAAATGCAGTGTCCTGGAATACACAGGATAGCTTTTGGTAATGAAGAGTCAGCTCACAGAGATGCTGCTAAATGCAGTGTCCTGGAATACACAGGACAGCCTTTGGTAATGAAGAGTCAGCTCACAGAAAATGTGAGTAGAGCTGATATTCAGAATCTGGGTTCAAAGTGGAGTAATCGTTCAATGCTCACTGCTTCCCACTGTGTACAGAGGAGAAGTTTCCCTTCCAGTTCCAAGTCAGCTGAAAATCCCCAGGGCAAAACTGGTTTTGGGGAAATAGCCAAGTCCCTTGTCATCTCCACTATCCCTGCCTGCCACAGGTCATTGCTTGTGTATAAGAACCAGGGTCAGTTCATCTTTCTAACCAAATACAGCAGATAAGGGTGTTATGGCCAAATAAAAAGTGGACAGGTTTGTCAGACTACATGATAAACGTTTGTCATCCAAAAGAAAGGGTGTTGATGCCCACAAGAAAGAAGAATCTTGGTCCTGGAGCAAAGATTCAGTACTTGCTGCTCTTTCTGAGGACTAGAGTTAGCACAACAACTCTTCTTGCCACTGAGAGCACTGAAACACACCTGGTACACATGCATACACTTGGACAAATACACACACAAAATAAAAAAACAAACACAAAAGAGTAAAGCAATCACACCACATGTCCATAATACAATTTTAAATGAACATGATCTGTGTTGAGTTGCATTACATTTACTTAATTAACACTGTTCTTTTGCCTGAAGAATTCAGAAAGCAAGGACTAATGTAAAAATGGCTCTTCAGAGAACATGGATGAGAGATTACAAGTGTAAATAAGCCATTAGTGCAGTACCTGTAATTACACAGAAAGTCAGTCATAATTTTATTGGCAAGAAATAGCACAAGAGTATGAAATTAGAGCAGTTAGTGTGCTCGTCTATATTAAGAGTAACCTTTACATTAAAGTTGATTGAAGACGAATTTAGTATGCAAAATGCATTCCTATACTAACTACTGAAATGAGATTCCACTGAGACACATCCCTGTGGAGAAGATAATGAATGATAAGGCTGTGATCTTCTCTTTAACAAATAGGTTGAGCTGTGGTTATATTACCATGAAAGGAATAAAGAGGCATGGCTACGTTCATCATTCCCTAAAGATCAAGTTCAAACTGGTATTTACAGAAGGTTCAAAGACATGAAATTTTCTGTGGTTAGAGATTTTATTTTTCTGGTTGTGTTATGCTATGTTAGTGCCCATCAGCTTCATGGTGTTTGAATACCTTCAGGTGTCTACACAACTGTAACATGGATCCTTTAATGTGTCAAACATGGACCCTTTAATGTGTCAGTCAGTTGCTGAACCCCATAGTCATGTGATGTTTTGACCCCCTTTTATAATGCATCTCATCATTCAGGTGATATGAGATGTTGGGGGAGCTCTGTTTGATTTTTGGAAGCAGCTGATTCTAATACATCTGAAATGGAAACCATCACAAGTACAACATTACAGAGAAACAAATTCAGGGATAAAGCAGTGGTATCGTAGTTGTTTATATCCTTCTATGTGACTATTTGCAAATGACTTAATGTAGCATTTTCTCTTGTTTTATCTTTAAGCAGTGTTCACCTTATTTCTTTTTCTTCAGAGTATAAAAGGTACAACCAATGATTTCTGACAACTAGAGAGTCATAAGAGCCATAACGATATGACCTCTAAAATATAAGATCACAGTATCATCCCTCAGGAAGAGCTATTTGAATTTTGTCTTTTCACTGAACTGCTTAGTTGGATCATCCTAGGATCCTGGTGTTTAAGTGCCAGGACCTCATATTACTTATATCAACCTTTAACGGATTATAAAAACTCCAAGGGTTAGTGGCCCTGCCCTGTCTCTCTCACTCCTTACACATTCTCCAGCATCACCACAGTGTAGAGGCCTTTCCTTGTCACACTCCTTTGAGGACTTTCTGACATTGACAAGTGGTCATCCAACCACGATGTTCTGATTCATTTCACCCAGGCAGAGGTTTCCATGGTCCACCACACAGTGATAATGATTAAGGATCATGTATTCATATAACCAAGACTTAGTGTATATGAATTGTTGTGAAATTTTTCCCTTGGGACTCCTTAGATGAGTGATTCTAGAATACAACGAGAAATTTGTAGTATCTGGAAAAATAAAAAGTGACAAGACTATATGGTGTGCAGGTATTTGGTCAATTGCTGTGTTTGTTTCTATGAGAGTGTGTGCAAGTGAGTTTGTCACTGATGCTTAAAATGACAGTGATAAAATAGATTGTCCTCCCAAATTAATGTGGGCCTCGTCAAATCTGCCAAATACCAAATAAACTACAACATGTAAGTGCAAAACTCCTTCCATCTACTTGACAGTTGGTGGATGCATTGGCTTTTTTGTCTTTGGGCATGAATTATTAGCTTTGGAAGGATCCCTAGCATGCCAGCCATGACCCCATCTATATTGTCTACTTTCCTGGGATATAATTCCATATAAGTCCTATTCTTTTCCCACACCTTCTCACATTTTCTTTTTATTTCTTTCTCTTGCTTTGTTCTTTATTTTCTTACTTTTTTGCATTTACACAAGGAATGTTTCATTATATTCAGGGTTAGCCTGGAATTCTACCTACCTCCTAGTCTCCTGAGTTCAGTGACTATAGCTGCATGCCTCTATGCCTGACAATGATATTTATTTCAGAATTGGTCAACGGAACCCAAAATTTCAGAATCTACAATCTATCTTACCCTCCTTAATCAAGCCTATTATACTTTTAAGTACTGTTTTATCTTGGGTCCATGTGAGCTTAAACTTGTAAAACTCAGGGTTCTCTTGTTCTGTCTGGTTCACAACCTCATTCTAAACGTTCTTGGTTCCTCTTATGTCTGTATGAAGAATGGGAAGAAATTAAAGAGGACAAGGTGGAAGGGACTATTTTTGTATGCGTTTCAATCTGCTATTCTGAGAGTGATGAACTACTTTCAAATATGAGGCATGCCATTTTCAGATATCTGGAGCCTATCAGAAGCATAAATGAAGTAGGAATTTTACTCAATTTCTGTAGTCATGTCTGTCATTACATCCCTTCTGCGTATCCTTCAAGCTGCTGTTGGTTTCCATACATGTTACCATTTCAGCCTTCTATCACAATTGAAACAGAGGTAACCATTTTGATCTGTCATTTCTGAAAACAAAAGAACTCAAAAAGACTATTTTTGTACAACTTGACCAAATTGGCAAAGAATTGATCATGAAAATACAGATCTTCTTGCAAATTTCACCTTTACTTTACTGTTGGTCGTCAAACTATGACATGTATCGAAATTACCTGGACATCTTATTAGTGTTTAGATTTTGATTTAGTCCTTCTGAGTGAATATTTGTAACTACCCTTCAGGGGATACTTATGCTTACTGCCCAAAGACAAAAGTTAAGTAGTGATATGACATGGGTGGGTACGTATACATTGAAGGATGTGCATGAAATCTATATTTAAATGTGCTTTCGAGTCGTGTTTTGGTTTATGGTTTGGTATTTCATTCTTAGTCCTGTGACTATATGAATGTAATTAATTTCCTGCTTTTGTTATAATGTTGCTTTCTTTTGAGGAGGGATCTCACATAGCCCAGGATGGTCTTGAACTCAACATGTAGACTAAGATTAGCTCGAATTCCTGATCCTCCTGCCTTTACCTTTCACGTTCTCAGGTTACAGGCATTTATTGTTCATTTTATAGGGTACTGGGGATTTAACCCAGAGCTTCATGCATATTGGGCAAGCATTCTACAAACTGAACTATATGCTTGTTGATTTTCCATTATTTATGTTATAAAAAGGCAATTGGACATGGTTTCATATAGAGCATGTAAAAGTCTACACATAATAACAACACAGTTTAAACATTTTAAAGGTATGATACTATGAAGATATAGTTCATTCTTTGGAAAACCTACCTTGTATGACACAGACATCTTCTAAAATGGGGAAATCAAGTAGACTGCTTCATGTTCCAAAATGGAAACACATCACTGCTGGGTACTGATGCACTGAGGTATAAAACTCATCTGTGGAGGTGACTCAATGAATAAGAGCACTTGCAAGAGTTTACTTTGAATCCCCAATACCCACTTTAAAAAATGACTTGGGCATGATTTTTCATTGTGTGGGTGGTATGGTTGTGCATGTACCATTGATTGTACATGGAGGTCAGAGGACAACTTTTGTGAGTCAGTTCTCTCCTTCCTTCCAAAAAGAGCCCCAAAAATCACACTCATGTTGTTAAGATTTCATACAATTGCTTTCACACACTGAGCTATTTTAGTTCAGAATTAACTACTTACTTTGACTTGCAAAAGCTACTACTAAGTTCTACACCAACTTCTCCTTGTTAGCTACTAAATATTACCATTCCCTCAGTCAATGGACTCTGAGATAAGGCAAACTAAT